CGTCCCAGGAAGAAAAAAACAGGCTCTAAATACCGGCCTGTTGCTTCACCGCGTGGTACATGGGCTCCAAAGTTTCATTTCCGGGAAGCCTAAATAACTCTCCTTTTCGACCAGAACCACGTCAATAGAGCACCGATTGACGATGTGCTGGCTTGTGAACAAGACGAAAAATCGGGCCCTCTTCACCACACCGGTTTGGTCGGGCTCCGACAGCAGACGGTCGGGCTTCACCGGCATTTGATTTGTACCCAAAATCCATCATAGGCGATACTCACCCCCATCTCAGGGAGTTGCCCAGGAAAAATGGAGGAACTTAACATCGGAGATCTCACACACAATCACACAAGACGGAGCATGCACACAGCTCGTGGCGGATACCATTGTTATTTATTGCTGTTGCTTCGGTGTGTGGGGCGGGGTCACCTTGAAACAAAGCTGTGCCACGGGAATAAAATACACAAGAAGAGTTCTTTTTTTTGGCAGGGAGTTTTTTTCGCATGCATACACTGCCGACTCTCGCCACCTCAGCTTCCGTGGGTCCTATGGCCCCGCGGCCTCTGTCAGCCGCCACACAAGACGTCGAATACACACAGCTCGCGGGAACTAGCTCTACAATTGTTGCGTCACTCAGTGCAGAGAAACCACCCAAAGACCAAATCGGTATGGAACGTACGTAGCAACCGCAGTCGTTTTGCTTCTCGCTGAGTAAGAAGCTCCCCGTTCATCCGGCTGCTGCATGTGAAGCGATGGGCGCTGCCTCTTTATTATGTCAAGCAATGGACTTGGGCCCTACCTAATGTTTACTGCGTATGTATGCAGTGCTATGTGAGAGCTTCCAGCGGTTCAGAGCGAGCAGCGAAGGTGGTTTTCCTGTGCTCTATTTTGCCTCCTCCCTGAAGTCTGTCGCGTCTGGCTGTCTTGTTCTCTCTTCTTTCTTTTAATATTATTCTTCATGCATTGTTTTTTGCTTTTTGGGGTCCCCCGGGTCCTGTGTGCTCATCGGGCGTCTTCTTGGTGTCTACCTTGATTGCTACCCGCTGAAAGAATCGAAAGCTTCAGACAGGCAACGAGACGATACTCGTCGAGTTGCCATACACAATTTCCATATGGTACTCATACATGTATGCAGGAATTCCCACGGCTGAACTTTTTTCATGTGGGAAAAATACTGAACACACAGAAAGACTACCCGTTCGAGATATAACCACACCACCAGTCGAAGGGGATGTGTGTGAAGTCTTTACAGCAGTGAGGTTTTGTTGGCGGATAGCAAGCAGCACGCAACTACAGCAGACAGCTTTTGAACAAAACACTCCTCCCTTCACACCAGCCAATACACACGCCACGAGGATGAGCAACTCCGCGAACGACACGGCAAACTCTGTGCAACGCGGCGATGTGCAAAAAGACCCCAAGGCGCGTGTGCTTGGTCCGCACCTAAGCGCCACGAACGTGCCCGCGTGATCTATGTGTGCCGCTGCGCTACGCACCATCATCTCGTGTCGCCTCTCCTCACTGATGATGCGGCGTTTCGGGTTGTTCCGTGCGGGAGAGGGTAGTTGCAATCTGTTTTCTCGACACTCACGACACCCCAAGGCATCAAGCCTTGAATGAGACAGATGTACAGTAGTAGAGCTACCTCCTGCGGGGTGGCATTCCTATATTGCTGCTGCTTCCTTCTTCGAAAAGTTATCGCTGGAAAACCAAGTCCGTTGCAGTCTACAAACACCGCACTTGAGACAACGGCTCCGCCGTTGATTTTTTGCGTCGTCAACACATTGTTTTTTAAGGGTGTATTCGGCACCTCACAGCGCCAAACGTTGGCATTATCCAACAGCCCCATGTCACCACCTCCTCCTGCCGGACGCCATTCTTGAGGCACCCCTCGTTCCTTGTTCGGCGAGATATCGGCCAACACGTTAACACAAATAGTACGCAAACACTACTCTTCTTCTGCATAGCAGAAGGAACACCCGCTTCCGGCTGGCTCTTCTTGTTTTATTCCTCTCTCCCATCTCCTCAGTTTTCCAGCGGGAATCAGAGTTTGAAACCACCATGGGGGAATTCCCGCATCATTTCGCCAACCGGAACGGGACCATAAAGCGCCAAATATTCGTTCAAAGCGGATGCGGTAGATGGGAATTGAGTTTGAAAGATGTCTAACAAGCCTGCATCGTGCACCATGCACCATGCATACTAGAGTAAATTCTATCTGCGATGCTTTTTTCGGAGTGGCGAAGTGGCAGCCGACCATTTTAAATTTTGAATACGAGTTATATCAACAACAACATCAACTACAGAAATAGAGATGGGTTCGTTGTGTCATCATGTTCGGCAAAACAAAAAAAGGTTCCTTCTTCTGCAACGAACGGCCGTAGGGATTCGTGTGCATACAACAGTACCATGAACCAATTTTCAAAGCTTGGTTGCTCCCCAAGACAAAGAGTGTGGCAGTGCCGAAAATGGTGATGTGGGAACCGTCTCCCCGAGAGCTTTCCGACAACGTCTCGCTGGGTTTACTCATCCTCTTTGTCTTGGAATACTCGAGCTTTAATTATCTGGACAGGGGGTGTAGTATCTCATTTCACCTACGGTAGACCTGTATGCATCGTCATACGGTTGACGTTCGATGTTGTTGGGACCCCACCAGAGAGAGAGAGAGAGAGAGAGAGAGAGAGAGGTAGACTAGAAGAGGAGAGCGGAGAGAAGACTATATTGATTGAATCAAAGTTGATTGGTCCGTCGCATGAGCCTTTGCATGCAAGCGTGCAAGTCGATAATGCCGTGTGTGCGCCCCGCTGCTCACAGCAGGAGGGACCGCACAGGGGTCAAGAGTGGAGTGGCACAACACGAGAGGACAAGAGGGAACGGCATGACAACGCGGAGCCTAGGGAATGAGTCACGGGACCCCTTCCATTGATGATTCAATTGATTGCTTGTCAGTAAAAAACAATGTGTGCGCTGGACTGACCACGGTTTCGTGCCTGCTCTTTATGTCCTCCTGTCTCTCCTCTAAACACGTTTCACAACAACATCCTTTGGTCTCGAAGCACATAAGAGGAATACGCTCTGTTTTGGTGAGCCTTGGTTACACTTTGATAGTAACTCTTTACGACTATAACCGATGTTGAACGTAGCAAGGCTAGGTTCTTCACGCGAGCAAGGCTAGGTTGCTCACCCCACATCTACCCCAACCCTAAGCCTAAGCCTAAGCCTCACCCACGGCCAAAGCACGGCCTAGCGGCCGCGAACTGGGCGGCACGCGGCTGTGCTCGGAATGCGGAACGGGGAGAGGGCGCTGGAGAGGAATCGGCCACCAGAACCAACGCCGAACAACGCCCGACCAATCAGAACGCGTTAGTCCTAAAGATCTACTTATTATCAACTTATCAATGTGTAAACACGTAAACACTACTACCAGAGCTGCAGAGCTGGTTTTGGTTTTGCCGGATGGCGGCGGAACCTATGCCGTTTCGAACGCCGGGTACTGCTGGTCCGTCTCTTGTCCTCAGTAGCTCAAACCGTAGCCTGTGATTCGTGTGGTGGAGTCCCCGCCTGTGCCATCCATATAGACTATCCAGATCTCGTGCTCTCCCTCGCGGCGGTCGCAGCAACGAACGAGTGGGGGCGTGCTGGCCTCTAGCGATTCACACACCGTCAACCACGACTACAGGTCAGCAGAGGTTTCCTTCTCTCGGTGGTATGCCGGTCGCCCCGGTGGTCTAGTTGGTGTCTAAAGGTCAGGTCAGCGGTTCGAATCCCGGCGTAAGCGAGCTTTTCTTGAAAACAAAGTGAGTTTTTTCTCTCTCGCTTCCGCTTCTGGCCTACTGGATAGCGCTAGTTCGTGTGTACACAGAGGGAAGAGAGTGCTGAACTCTTCTCGCGTCAAAAATCGAAGGCAAAGTACCGCAGGAGGGAAGGGTAGAGGGGGGCTCTTCTGTTTGACCACGGGTTGGAGTAAACGGCACTAACTAGTGCTGTGAGCGCTGACGAAGTGAAGAAGACAAAAAAAAAAAGAAAAAAAAGAAGAAAAAAAAAATGGAGTGAGTATTGACTATAGTATGCAGCCGTGTGGGCAGTCCACTGGCGTACACTGCGCTACAGTTTCGCGTGTGTTGCTTCTGTTGGTCGTCTGCTGACGTATACTCACGACAGATGAGTTGCTCCTACAAACACTGCTGCTGCATTGTGTTCGGAAGGAGAGAATTGGTGCATGTTGTGAGCCGAGTGCGGAGCTCGCGGTGTTGGGATTTGGTACAAGTGAAGGGAAGGCGGTTTAGACACACATACATGTCTAGCTTCTGCATGATTACAAACGTTCGGCCGGTTCATGGGGCCACCTAACGTGCATGATAATGTTATGCTGTACCCATTTGTCCGTACGTATGGGGCAAAGGAAAACCATACAACGCGAAGTGGCAACGCTGGCGAGAAAGAAGAGCCATCCTACATACTGTCGGGGATTGGTTCGGGACACGCCTAGGATCAGTATTTTACAAGGAACCAACGCTTTATGTACGTGAAGTACAGATCTTCAGTGATATGTTTTGTCTTGTTTGTTCGTCGTCAAGACACACACACAATGTAAACGGAAACTAGCCCAATGCTTGGCGGTTGTGTTCTGTGGAAGACAAGCCTTGTTGGGCGAAGTCGTGTTCACTGTAGGTCGTCTCGGCGAACAAGCGTGCCGTACGCGTTCTACCGTATCGACTTGCCAACGCAAAACCCACCAGAACAACTACAGAGCGAATCATCACTACTACTACAAGTACGTTTCGAACATGGCTGCGTGCACAACGAGAAGGCGTGCGGGAGGAAGCTACCGTCAACAGTTGGAGCGGTATTCACACCAACACCAGCTACAAGCAAGAACGAACGCCATCTCCGAGCATCATTACAACAACAGCAACAACCTTACCTGCTGCAAGAAGCGGTGCAACACGAAGGGCACGGCATTATCATCACCCCTTTTTCCACCTTTCGCTGTTTCTCTTTCGCAGGCAAATTCGAGGTTCAACAGATGGGAGGGCTTACAGGCGTATCATGGGCTCTGCTGGTGGTTCATTCGATATGGTCATTTGCGCTTGGTCTTGATATGCACAAGTTCTGGAGAATGTGAGTGTAACAGGCAAACGGACGGCTTGAAATGTTGTGTTTGCGAAAAATGAAGATGCACAGGGGGGGGTTGCACGTCTGGCAAGCGAATAACTGACACCGGCTTGCCACTGCTGAGCTAGCGACAATTTTGCACGAGGGTTTTTACCCGCAAACGTTTGCGGTTGTCTTTGCGGTTGCAGGCGGAAAAAAATGAGGATATTTGCACGTTGGCCAGCGCTAGCTCTCCTCAGCGGCTGCGCGGGTGGCGTAGTTCAAGCCTGCATCGTGCTGCAGGAGGTCTTGGCTCAGGTGACAACATCCTGCAATGTGCCCCTGGCTTTTTTTTTATCTGTGTGTCGTGGGTTGCGTCAGGGTTCTGCTATCGGTAACTTGACGTCGATGGCGGATCTGGGTACATTCAGAACGGAGAAGCAGGAACACCCCAGGCTTCAGATAGGATTCTTGCGCCAAAGAGGGTTCGAACCTTGGACGTACCCCGAGTCGACTATTGAAAAGAGGAAATGAGATGAAGCCATATACCCGAATCCATGCCAACGTGGTTGGTCGTGAATGGTTGATGTCATAGACAGGTGACAAAGAAATCGTTTGGGCGAGACCGCGCAAGACGAACGGATTCGCATGAACTTAATGTGTGCCAGAAGCGCACCATACACGACAACACGTGCGAGTCTCTGCGGTCCAACAGTAGGAATTTCGGTCATGGTGCCGTCTTGAAATCTCCGGCTGGTAGTACGAGAGCGAAGAACAAAAAAAATAGTGGTGCTCTGTGTTTGTACGTTTCGCCCGGTCCTAAACAAACCGCTGCGTGGGAAACACCAACACAGAATCTGAATATTTCAACGGAATTCTGTAATTTTTGCTAATGTAATTTTTGAAGAATCCACGGAGAACCACCACGCCTAATGACGGGAAACGATTTAATCTTTTGGGAGCCTCCCATCATCTTTCTTATGGGATCTTCCTGCGGCGTGGCGGTGGTAGGAAAGGTAGATGTTTCAGTTCTCGAGTCCTTGGCTAGTTGGGAAAAGGTTTCAGGTCTCAATATGGCGTATCTTCGACAGCTGCTGCGAAATCGACCGAGAAACAAGTCCGATTCCATTACAACAAGACGAAACCACACGACCATCCAGAGATCGACGTGCTCCTCAGATTCAAGCCGGCTTCTTCGCCTTCTGTTGACGATCGCACCATGCACGCTCTGGGGAAGACTGCACTCGTCTATTGAAAACCTCACACATTGAACGAGGATATCCTGCTCATCCCTGGAGGCATGTGACACTCTATCTCAGCGCCCTAGCTTGCTCAAAAAATCATTCGTGCTTCCCAATGACATACTTCAGTATATTTCAGCACTCCGTAGTCGCGGGCATTCATCTTGTCACTGGGGCCATTGCACGGACGTGCCCTTTTAGAAGTGACCGGGCTAGACGAAGAGGTTGGGTAGACGGCTACAATGTGCAATGCTAACTCTCGAAATCCAAGTCTCGGACTTGAACAAAGAGCGCTTTGGTCGTGTACGGAGAGCACATTTCTCTGATAAGGGGTTGGGTAATCTTGCTGACATTGCCGCGTGTGCCTCTCTCTCCCTGTACGCCCCATCGCGCGCTTGGCCCTTTGCTTGCGTGTGGTCCATCTACAGGAGGGCCACGTCTTGCCCTGCGTCGTGGTCCTCTATCTGAACCCTGTGGTGATCGGACCTTACGCCTTCTCGTATCTGTTGAGAGGTCTCAGGGCGGTCATCATATCTGACAAAGGTTGGGATATCCGACATTGATGTGTCCAAAACCTCGAGACAATGTTTCGAACGCTAGAGAAAGAAAGGTTCAAACAACTGTCCAAATAACGATGGCAAAATACAACAAAACAAATCACCCTTCGGTGGTATTGAATATGTAGTTCGTGACATAGTAGGCTGTTGTAGAAGGAGGAATTTAAAGCTCCGTTTCCGGGCGAACGAGCTTGTTTATCGTTCGGCACTACAGTCCTTCCAAACCAAGAGAAGAGCAGCACACGAAACCAAAAGGAGTACATGGTGAGGCCCTGAAGTTGATGGCATGTTTCTTCCCAAAAAAATCATCGAAATACGATGGATCCCCATGATTGATCTGTTCTTGTCAGGTTTGTGATAAAAACTGTTCGAAACGTCTGATGCATCAAATTGCCATGAGGAGCGTCTGAAAGGTTGTCAAGCCATGAACATTATCTCGTGCTTGTTGCCAGTTCCGGAAGCCACATCTCCTCGCACGTTGTTATTTACCCTTCCTACCTCCCGCCCCTACATTACGCCTCCTGTGACGATGTTTGCGAATCATAGCGTGGAGAATGAAGTTCATGGCCTTGTTTTCGCGGAACAGCATCGCCATCTTTTATACGTCAATGGTCATAATCCTGCTAGGAATCTGCGCCATGCTTCAGAAAATCGCATCCGACGTTTATGGGTGAGATGGATGGGTGCATGGATGAATGGGTGAATGAGCTCGATTCTACCCGTAGTTACTGCAATAAATGTCCTCCGATACGATATCCGTTGGCGGGATCCAACACCATCCAGAAGCACATTGTTTATCGTGATTTCAAAAGATAGGCCATCGTCGTGCCGAGAGACCACCAGCTTTCAGTGCTGACGTGCGGCTGCGAAGGGTTTCCCGAGGTGGGAGTGCCGGACTGCGCACAGTAGTACGCAAGGTGTAAGTCGTAGACGCCTGTGTCCCCCTAACACCCACCGCCGGTCGACAGGGTAAACCCCACCGAGGTGTGTGTTTTTCTTGGAGACTGGTGGTTCTGGTGCCCTTCATGCTTCCTGATGATACTGGCGGGCTCGAAGCTCTTCATAGAGCTTTCACGTCTGAACGACAGCATCAACATGGCCAAGGAAATTTCCACGACAGCTGGGGCGTGGCTTATTTTAGCTGGTGAGTGCCTGTACCCCGCCACATGCCACGTGAACGATAGAGCAGCGTATCTTGGCACCAAATCCCACGATGGGTGTCATATCTGAGGTGTAAGTGCTGTATGTGGAGAAGATTCGCGGCGAGGTGATTTCAAAGCGCTACTACAGGAAGGCGGCGGTTTATTGAGTATCTTGTGGGATAATCTCTCCATGTACTCCTATTTTAAGTCGCTTCTCGCCTCCTTGCATTGATTGAACCTGTCCCGTTCAGCCTAGCTCTTCTCTCCCGCCGTTTCCCACCACTCTACAACCCCCCCCGCCGCCCGGTTTCCGAGCACTATCGCCCTCCGTACTGCGAAGGTACATCGGTTCGCCCGAAAACGCATACAGATTGGCGTGGGAAAATATGGTGAAGCCACCTAGAGGGGTGTACGTCCCCAGTTGCAGTCCGGTATAGCACGTTCAAGCTATTCATGACCACCTCTTTCTCTCCACGCACAGGAAGTCTTGCACCCTTCAGTACCATCGAAATGTCTGCCTTGCCTACGATCGAAGGCTTGTACGCTAAACTCTCCCTGTCCCCTTCCGCTTGAAACACACCCGTTGAACGTCTACCGCAGTGCCGTACTTTTCCGTGATCGTGCTCAACGCGTTCAACATCCTGGAAATGCCAAGACAGCATTCTTTTCTCCTGTGGCTATGTATCGCGCTGACACTCGCCTGCACGTAAGTTGCACCTTGCGTTTCCTCCATGTGCTGACGAGTTCTGGTTCCTCGTAGTTCTCGCGGAACTCTTAACACTTGTTTCGGCCTTACTTACCCCCGCACTTCTGTGACAAACGTTCTTTAGTGGCCCTCATCCTTTTCACAAAGCCCGTTTTCCGATCCATCTACCGGGAAAAATTGGTCGACATTGTCTTTTTTGGGTTTGCCTTGTCAATACGACTTGTGCTTGTGGCAGTTGGCGGCACCAAAGCAGATCCGAGTTGCGATAGTTCAAGAGACACCCAATGTCGGAAATAAAACACATGCGCTTGTTCTTCCACAGCCGTTGCCCTGTTCATGACACCCCCACGCGGCGTGCATCGCTATTTCGAAAAGAAAGGCGGATACCTCGTCGTGTGTCTCTCGACGCCAGTTGAATTCCTACCGCGTACAACGAGCTGCTGCTCATGACTTGAAGGCAAGGTTTTGCACTTCCGGCCTTGTCCCAAGCGACGGGAACAAGCGTTAAACGACATTTCGGGGGAGAGAAATACGTGTACTCCGCACCACGACCCTCTCAGAGCTGTCTCTCTAGGTGCTGGCATTTGAAGCGTTAAAGAGTGAGAGTCCTCACTAACATGTAACCCATCATCGAATGACTGGGACTTCAAAGAATCACAGTTTTTCCACAACATTAAAACGTTTCGATAAAAATATCTCAGAATCGCCGAACACCTCGCGGGCACACCCGCAGGTTCATGATCGAGCCGCGGCGACATCACGGCGAGGTATCGTGTTGGAAGAGGAAGAAGAAGCAAAAGGTCTTCATTGACGATGCCAAGGTCGCCGCTTGGATGGAGAGCTGGCACAACTCAGCGGTAACGGGATGTGGCTCTTGCCCTTAGACTAGGCCTGGAACATGGCCGCCCAGCTGCACCCAATTCCTCGAACATCGAGGGGTGTTGGCTTATTCGTAGTATACCCACACGAACGTTCGCAACACCACTATTCGGACACTCTTCCGTCGCCGCCACCCTGACACTAAGAGACCTTGGGTGAACAGACGGAGCAGCATCCCGTGTACGTGACACTGCTTGCATTCGCTGCATCTAAGTACAGGGAAACCCTCTCAAGACTCGCCGAAGATGTGCAATTAGAAAGAGTATTCATACATTCGCATACACAGATCGAGACAAAGATCATAGTATTGTGAGCAATCCCAACAACCGGATTCAGTGGACTGGCCCAAAATCACCTGTGAGACTGCCGAAAAGCACGTTCCTGCCGAACGTCCAAAACCTACCCTTTCAATGCGCAAGTTGAGGTATCTCGGCAGTTCGCCCCACGAGTTGTAGCCTGACCCCTTTGGCTTGCGTTCATTGGCTGGCAGGCAATCATGAGCCATCCGATTCTGGACCGAGCTTTCGAGAAGCACGTCCAGGACTACCTGTGCTTAGAGTCCTATGACTTCGTCAAGGAGGTCAGTGCATGCAGACCTGAGCGTGATAATGAGCCTGTTTAGGAACGTTGTTCGAGAGTAAGCCCATCTAGACTAACCGATGGATGGCTAGTATTCCTTATAGCACATATTTTCGGAAAACTCACGCGGAGTCGTTTCTGCAACGGCACACGTACGTCTGTGATACCCAGATGATTTTGTTCCTCCTATGATTATGCTCCCAGCGTGCGACGTTGAAAACGTACTACAGACGCTCTTGCAAACATGTGCCACTAGTCCTGTTAACATGAAATTTTGGTATGGAAGACGGAATAAACTGTGCCAAGGTATATTGTGTACGGAAGAATTCGGAACATCTCCCAGATCTACCTGTGTATTTGGGTTCTTATTGTACAGCCCTGGAAGGGGATTGGTGCGGGTGTCTCGTTTCGGTTTTCTGGGGTCCCACAAAAAGAAAGGTCTCACTGAGTTCTTATTCTGCTCTCTCGCTGCTCCTGCAGCAAGAGCTTGATGGACGCATGTCCACTAGGCCCAAGGGCCACGTGATGAGGATGCACAGTGTGTAACACGCAGCCGCTTCGGCGGGCAGCAGCTAAATAACTACGTACATCGAACTTCGGTCCATAGCTAGCAAACATGTCGTAGCTTTGCCACGTAAAAGTATAGCATAGCATGGGGTGTTTTCTGAATGGTAGTGCGTACCATTGGGAGACTCAATCGTCCGAGACTGCTGCTGTACAACAGTTTCGTCCCGTCTGGTAGTATCCGGAGGGAGATTTGTGTTTTAGTAGGAGAGACACGTTCGGAAACCACGGGGGTTTTGCGCCGTGCGGAACGTGTGGTACGGGGGAAGTCTCCCTCTGCAGGCTCAACAGAATATATTAATCAAGGCAGTTCGAACGAAAGACAATAAAGTGCTGCTCCACAAGTATTGTGTGCTGATACATCAACTATAGTTGATACGGTTTACCATTATATAGACCAACCTGCCAACGGCCATTTTTGTCACAGGTGACACAGTACGTCACCGACGCAGACAAACAATCCGTTGAACAACTTTTCGTTCAATTCCGAAGGATCGTGGATGTGTACATCTTGGCGGGGTCGGAGCTGGAAATCAACATCGAAACCGCGATGCGAAAAAAAGTGCTCGAGGTGTGTAACATGCGGTCACACGTTCAGTCCTTGGCCCCAGCAAATGTTGCCGCGGTTCGGGTGGGAAAGTAAAACCTACGCACAACATACATCGTCAAGGAGATTCGTTGAGAATGGACGCCTGAATGTAGGGGATAAATCACTTTGAAACGTTGACCAGGTGCACTTGGTAACGACATCTACCTACTTGGAGCCATGACGGAAAAGGTTGGGAAGGCGTTGTTTCATATGGTTGCAACCCCAACAACAAGAGAAATCATCTATTGAGCACAAGAAAAGGCTTTGGTTTTGAGAGCAGGATACGAAACGGCGACGATACGTCTGCTGACCCTCGGCGATATCGTCATGATGCTCAACGGCTCGTTGGAATACTGACCAATCCATACCCGTACCCCCGTGCGCTCCGAAGTAGACGGGGAGTAATCAGCATTTACCGTGCGGGATAGAATATTGGCACGGCTTTGAACGCCCCAGCTCCCTTTCCTCGACACGTCAACATTTGTTTCTGAAAGATTGGGGACAGGGAAGCCTTTTTGAAGGCTGCGACGGAAAGACGACGAGACGTCTTCAACCCTCCGAAGGCAGAAGTTCTTAAGATTCTTGACGACAACCTCCTTCAGTCCTTCTTGGCAAGCCAGCAATTTCTCGACGCCTCCAAGAATTGGCAAGAAGCGCTAGCCGAAGGTAACGATGACCCCGTCTGTACATGCTGCATGGCATTTCCGTCGATTTCGCGTATGCCACTTCAACCGATAGTCAGTGTGAGGTTCTTTGCTTTCCGTTCCGCTGGCTGCTTCAGTAACTTAATCAATTGTGAACTGTGTCCAGGGACGTCCGTGGACGTTTGCAACGGGTGACCTCATGACATGTAGATGTCCGTGGACGTCCGTCGACACGCCCATGGGTTTCCCATGTTTGGTGTTGTTATGTCTTTCTGCTGCTTCTGCTGCTACCGCCTGTGTCTTCG